GGCGAAGGCTCAGCCGTTACGCCGCTGTGGCCCCCGGGTCTCGCAACCCAGCTGGGCGTATAAATGCTAAAACGCAGAAGAAACGATGCAATAAGACACTGGCAATGCCAGGAGACGGGAGCCACCCCTTACCCCCAGCGCACAGGGCTTTGGTGTGCGACACCAAAAGACCAAAGACACAGTCTGCCACGTAACCCCCCGTCTCCACTCCACCACTTCAGCTGGCTTCACTGTGGCCGGCGTTGCTAAACGTTTGCCCAGAAGTACCCCGGTAGAAAGTTCTGGGGAAATCCAAGAGCCCTAGTCGCAGCCTTATAGTTTTAACAACAGGCAGTAATTTGGGGGTCTAATTGCACTGCTCAGACATGACTTCTAAGGAGATATGGCCCTGTCTAGAGGGGAGGAAAAGTACCGTGAGTGTGCAGCGCTGCGTAAGTGCACATCAGTAACCTTCTGTGTGGCTGAATAACGGGTTCCCCGTCTTCTGTGTTTCAGTACTTGGCATAGGCGACGGGAACAAGCTGCTCACTGATCTGTACAACTGCCACCTGACCAAGGTAGGTGATGGCTCTGGAGGGCCTCAGAACATCTGAGTGCAACCTCACACTTGATTCCTGCCCGGGTGCCCCAGACTGGCCTTGTGGCGGTGATTCTGCTCAAACCTACCAATGCTTTTGAGAGCTTTTCAGGGTCCAGAATGCATCCTTGAGGGTCCACACATGGACGACACTGCTGTCTTTTTGTGCAACGTCATCGTAGCCCGCACTTCCTAGCAGCTGCATGGCAGAATATTGCTACTCAATTGCTTGGAGTATTTCTTTGACAAATTGCACTCTTTGCCCTTCTTCAAGGTTTACACTGTTGGTGGGCTGTTTGGTAAAGCCACTGATGACTTCTCAGACACAGGGAAGCTAGTGGAGAAGACAACATTTGGTAAGAAACTCAATTTATGTGTTTTAAAAAAAAAAAACCACCACCAAACAAATGGCATTTTAACTGTAAAGCATTTAACCTGGTAAATTGCACAAAAATAAAAGGTATGCCTTAAATGCTTTCTACTTTTTATTTGTACATGCAGCCCACACACAGTCCTGACATCACAGTCCTGTGCTAAATACAACCGCAATATATAGAAAGCCAGTACGAGTCCTGATGACAGTGGTTGCCACTGGGTTGGGTGGGACCCACATCTCTCCATAAATCATACCTAGAGATAGCGGTTAGAAGCTTTCATTGAATGAAACTCTTCGAACACCCGATAAGAGAAACTGGAGCCAACATCCTGAAATCAATTAAGCAAAACGATTCTTCCCTTTGTAGTCCAGCGCTGTGCTGCTCTGTGCATTACCATGGTAGAGCCAGAAGTGACTCTGCTAAAGCCACCTCTCGGCGGTTCTCATCAGCCCATTTCGATGTGACTGCCTGCCAAAGGGACAGTAATACCCTGATGGCACATTTCAGGCTGCTGTGTCTTTCCAGTTTCTGGATGGATAATTGAGGCTTTGTTCCTACCTTAATATTTGCAGATCATATCACGAGGGAGAAGCTGGAACGGATTCTCGCTGTCATTCAAGGAACAAATCATAAGGCCCTGCTGATGTACGTATCCAGTGGGGAAATGCAGCTGACCTGATCCGACTGCCATTTGCTGGTCTTTAAAACAAATGACGTTATTTTGTTTGCCATAAGCAAAGTCTTTAAAGGTTGGAGTGCTAGACAGGAACAGAGAGAAGTTACTGAGTGCTCTGTACTCCGGCGAGAGGTTGCAGTTAAGTGTCTTTCTCATATCCTGAAATCTTCAGCTATTTTAGGACCTATTAGCTACATTAGGACCTACAAAAATGTCTTGTAGACGTGACCAAGTACCTCACTCCTAAACTGTGCTACACTACTCTTAGTGTATATAGCATTAAAATGTATGCAAAGAAACAACACAGTTTTAAGAATAAAAATTGCAGCTCTGCTTTATTGGGGGTGGAGATATTTTGAATACCATCAAAAAGAAGTACTAAGTGCCTGCTCTGCTCCTTTTTTTTCTTTCTCCAGGCATTCTAACATTGATATGAAAACACAAGAGGCATACGAGCTGGCTGTCAAAGGGTTGATTCGCCCCATGGGAAAAAGCCCCCCGATAATCACAGCAGTCCGAAGCCTCCAGTTTGCTCTTCCAGAATTCCAGCTAGGTAGGACTGGTACAAAAACTACTGGGGAAGTCAGAGTATATATTATGGCAAATAAGTCGGTAAACTTCAGTTTCTTATTTATGATTTAACAGAAAATGAGTTGGTGGCAACTTTGTATCAACTTGTAACTGGTAATCCCTGCAGAAAATGTAATGATTTGTAGTTTCCAAAGTCACAAAAGCATCTCCTCCTTAGATGAACTCTTCAGTGTGGCAGAAAGATTTTTTTGGTAGGACAAGATCTGGAACCCTCACAGTACTGAAGCTGCTGTACTAAATCAAGCCAGCTGTGCACCTGGCTCACAGGTTTTTCCCTGCCAGTTCCAGATCTAAGACCGAGGCAAGAAAATTTGCATAGTGACTACCTATGGGGCAAAACTCTGCCTTATCCCAGTGTTTCAGTGTAATGCAGTTCAGTGTGGTTGGGTGTTTGTGGGTTTTTTTTTTTTTTTAAAAAACGTGGTTTGCTTCCTTGCAACCAATCTCCTACTCCTCACAAATTGTTTGTCTTATTAAAAAGGTACCTTTTCTTATCCCCTTTGAAATACAGGAGAGTAATGTAGAAATTTAGGTATCTATGGGTTTGTTTTCTAAAACATTCATTTTGGGAGGTGCTAGGACACCCTGCAGTATTCCAGAAAAATCACAGTCCACCCCTGCTGTATCTTAAATAGTCTCTTCTACCAAACCAGTTCTTTCAGCTTAACTGTGAGTGATGTGCGGATTTACAGACAAGGTCTAAGTTTGTGTTAACGCTTTGCTGCTTCTGACGGAATCTCTCTGTCCTTCTAGAAATCCATTGCTTGCATGAGACTCAGCAGTACCTCCGAAAAATAGTTCATGAGATTGGTCTGGAGCTGAAATCATCTGCTGTGTGCACACAAGTGCGAAGAATACGCGATGGTGTTTTCACACTGGATGATGCTCTCCCGAGAACCCAGTGGAACCTGCAGAGTATACGGAATGCAATTTCGGACTGTCAGCTTAAAGTGAAAACAGAGTTAGAGAAAACACTAGGCTATCAGGATAAAAGTAATCTTCATAAGATGGATGCTGAGGTGGCCCACACTGCAGACAGCTGAGTGTGTGCTACGGAGAGAACATCCACAAGCAATCTCTGTAGCACAATAACGCAGCTCCATGCTGACAGCGTGATGGACAGCAGAAGGAAAGAGGTTAATTGCAGTTCACTTCCACCCTTTCCTTGAGCTGACTTTAATCAGAGAGGCATTTTTTTTCAGTGACAGGCTGTATAATTTTTTTTAAAGCACTGCAAACAGTTCATTAACAGGAGTTAGCTGTGCCAAAATTCCTGTTGACTTTGGGAACATTAGGTTGCTAAGGGATATAAAAACCCACCCCCAAATTGTTTAGCAGCAGGAAATAGTGTCTTACAGAGCTGTATTCCCTTGATTGCACGGATTTGTTTGTTCCTTGCAACTGGCAGTGTAACTTACCTACATACGGATTTTATTTTCCTTCTGTTGTCCTAGAGTATTTTTTTCCCACTAGTCCTGCTTTCAGACATGTAAGAACTCAAAATCAGACTAAATGAGGGATGTGCAGGAGAAAACACAGCTTACACAAAGCAATGCAAGGAAATGCTTATATTCAGAGTAGGTATGTGTGATGAGGAAAAATGTAATAGGGACTGATGCACAAGATACGCAAGAAATAAAACTCAGAGTGACCTAAAGGGAAGAGGCTGTTTCTTGGCTCAGTACTCATCTGTGAGTACACTGACTCATTAAAAAAAAAAGAGCATGCTGCTTTCCCCCCCCACCCTGAGGAATCAAGGGTGTTCAGGGGTCTGTGGTATCCTGCTCTGCAGCAGCTCCATGCAGACAGCCTGTACTGCCCTACAGTGAAACTCTGTAAGCTCTCGAGTACCATTTGTTATCTGTTAGCTCGTGACAGCTGGGTCTGACTGAGCAGAAATACACTTTCTAAATTTAAATTAAAAATCTGAAGTTACACTTACCATTATTACACTCGGTATTTTTCCAGCTATACACATGTTAGAGAGTTTGGAGATTTACTTACAGGACTCAGTAGAAGAGATTTGTTGTATTCCTCCTCTGGATTTGGACAAAGGCCAGCATATTTTATCCTCCAGATAGCTGGTAAGGTACAAGAAGTAACTCTGGGAGGAGCAGTAAGAGGGGTGGTGATGAAGTACCTAAGTGGCAGAGTCCAGTCCTGTCCTGAAGCATCCCAGGAATCATTAATTTAGACCCTGGAATCTTTCAGTTGTTCTGGGTTTCCCTGCTCTGCACAGAGCAGCCAGAACAGCAGCGGAGCAGAGCTGCCACCACGTGGCACGTTACCCTGCCAGCTGCAGAGCCCCAGGGACTCCCCAAGGGCAGTTTGCTCTTACCTCAGCTGGCTGGTTCCGCGTGCCTTCATCCTCCGTGGACAAGGGACTGGCATCAGGGCACCTTCCTCGGACAACGGTCTTGTGCTAACTGAAGCATAAACCCATCCCCACGGCAGCGTGAGTTCCGGTGCCGGGCAGAACGCTTGCACAGCTACAGCTGCAAGTTTTAGTACCAGTGCTCCTACAAGGAGGAGGAGAGAACACGGACTTCTCAGTCCTTAAATAACCTTCAGTAACTTTGGTAATGGAGCATACTTCATCGCACGTGACTTACACCTAACGCAAACTGAAGGAATTTCCGTATGTACTTCCTATTGCAAAAAAACATTTCCAGTTGCTTGTGCCATTGCCAGACTAACATTTTGGCTGGAACACTCTGGGCTAAACCAGTGCTTTCACACAGAAAAATACCAGCCAAAACAGCAACGTGGGTTTTGAGAACAAAGTTAGCATTTCCCACTTCTAGCCGCCTCCTGGCTTTTTTTCTTCCCCTTAAAACTACTCCAAAACACAGGAGTTTTCCACACTTGGCAAGAGGGGGTTTATGGTGGGGAGGATATACCTGTAACCATACCCATGAGAGTCCATTCTTACATAGCCACAGTAAATGCCCTCCAGAGAAGCACAGCTGCACATTAGCAGAGACTTGCTTGAATGAATAACAGAATACAGCTATATTGTCTGTCCCCCTGCTTTAGACCCCTCCCCAGGGCTTTTGTGGCAAAACAACATACTTATAGCATCATAGAATCATTTAGGCTAGAAAAGACCTTTCAGATCAAGTCCAACCATTAGCCTAACACTACCAAGTCCACCACTAAACCAATTAAGGGTAGAGTAATAATTTCAGGTTTCCTGGCTTGGTGGCTGGATTAATTTTTTAATGAAAGTAAAACTAGGTATCACTAAGGTTGGAAAGGACCTCTAAGATCGCCAGTCCAACCGTCAACCCAACACCACCATGCCTGCTAAACCATGTCCCAAAGTGCCACATCTACATGTTTTTTGAACACCTCCAGGGATGGTGACTTAGTGATGTTTCTGCACCAGGTCCAGAACAGAAAGCACAAAACCAATTCTCTACTCTCAGCAGCAGCCTTTGTGACCATTTTCTGGTTTCCAAGCACTACAAAGACAGCTTCATTTGACTCAAATTTGGAAATAATGAGCAGACTGCAGCACGGGCCTGACTGGAGACCAGGGGGGAAACTTAATGGCAGCGTCCTGTTTTCGTGGTGCTTAGTTGCTGGCTGGGGCTAAACCACAACAGTCAGGAAGGTCTTCGAAGTAGAAATGGGCAGAAGGACATCAAGCTTGAGTGAAAAAAGGACAACAGATCTGCAGTCAGCAGAGCACTTTATCACTTAGAACTGCACGAAGCAGCCAAATTTAGCCTGTACAGTCACCCTCAATCCTAACACCTGACATTGAAACATTCATGCTCTCAACATAATTTTGCGGTTAGGACACCACTCGCTTTCACAGTGACTCTGCATTTAGAGGAGAGTAAAAGTAATTCTGCACCTACCCATTACTCGGTAGTGCTGCCACCCTGCCTCCATTAAGAGCCCTCAGAAAACATTTGAATAATAGATGTTACAGTTATCTCAGAATATAGTTTAAGAATTTGTTCCCAAGTTCATGCGATGTTTTATAGGCTCCTAAAGTGAATTACTGAGAAATGCGATAGCTGCTTTATTCAGACTGGACAGTTCAATACAACTTCACATTTTGCCATTTACTGCAAACAATGATACAAAACCTCTAGATACCAGAGCAGTTAAGTACAAAAACACAGAACACCCAGACTTATCCAGATTTGATCATAAACCAAAACAAAACCCCCAAACCACCACAACTTCAGCCTTCTTCCCTCCCTATTTCTGAGGGTTTTTCTTTTCTTTCAAAGCAGCTATTACATTGCACATTTGTATGCCCGCGCTTCCTGTATCCATTCAGTAGTGGCTGGCTCCACCTGCAGATTAGTGTATGCAAATAGCCCCTGGATGCTGTAGAGAAGCAAAGGCTCAATGGGAAGATTCTTAACATCAACCCGAATTAAAACCTTTCCAATAAAAAAAAAAATAAAAATACTGTTGATCAGGTAGTAGACGAAATTATCCAAAGTCCTACATCCCTTTCCCACAAGCAGAAAACAGTTGATAGATTCAACAACTTTCATGTTCCAAAGCTTCTTAGAAATAAGGCTGTTAACCCACACTCTGTTGCAACTCTACATACATATTTCCGAGGCCACCTTATATCAGTTCTCAACTGATAACCAAAACATAATGGCCCAGTAACAGTCATTTTTGCAGGACGTGGCAGTCTTCAGGTTCAATACTAGTCACTAAGCTCCAGATCGTATTCCGGGTAGAGCTGCTTTGTAGTAACCCCTCGGATAACAGCTAGAAAAGAAAGAAACACCATTGCTTTCATTAAACAAAGATCAGATCAGTCAGAAAAATTGCCTTTTCCTCCCAGTGGCCCCTAACTATCCCATAGAAACTCCCATAGCTAAGAAACCTGCTTGTCGCAACACTTTCTTTAAACATATGAAGAACAAAACTGACAAAAATCAGTAAGAATTAGGAAATTTCGGTGACCCACAAAACAGACTGAAATACCGGTAAATGACAATTATTTCACATGTTCAGGTCTAAAAACATCCCAAGAAAATAATGGCAGAAGTGTTTGTGCTTGCACAAGTGATTGGGTAATACAAGCCTAGAATTGAAGAATCTTTAAAATGAGCTCTGCCTTTATGGCATAGTAGCTTCTCTCTGTCTATATGAAAACATTGATTAAGACGTTCTTTAATAGCCTTCCCCTTCCTTACCCAGCTTGCCTAGCAGCATCTGTCCAGCATCTTTAATATCATTATACTCATGGAGCAGAGAGATGTGCTTCTCCAATTCCTCCAGGCTGTAGCCTCTGTAACAATAAAGCCAGAAAGGTCACAAATGACACAGCGGGATTGCTGCTGCTGCTGCTGCATAGTGAGTGCTGTCACTGCCGACCAAACACAGCAAGGGTGTTTGAGATACCCAAACCTGGCACATCTAAAGCAGAATCTGAAGGCAGCGAGTACAGCTGCTGCAAGTCATGAACATGAAAGCTACAAATGAGCAGATCCTCATTTTGAGGGTTTTTGCCACAAGACTTATCAAAAAACCCCCAAACAAACAAAAAAAAGTCCACTCAAAATCTCAGAATCAAGTAGAAAGAGGAATACGCTGCGGTGAATTCTACTTATATGTATCTCTAATCTGCAGCTGGGGAAAAAAAATTAAGGTCTGTTTATCCTCGAGGCTAAAAAAAAAAAAAAAAAGGGTTTGGAACAGCCCTTGTTGTACCATTTCATGCCCTACTTTATCTTAGAAAATATCACTCCTTCGCAATGAACAACCCACAGAGATTCCCTCTCTTTAAAATTCAAGCAGCAATTTTATCTCAAAACTGTTGCTAATAAGCAGCTGCCACAGTCTGTCATAAGAAACCACAATAAACCAGTTGCACTATACTGTACGTGGCACCCATCATGCCAGAGCGTTCTTGCCTGGAAAACATCTCTGCTTCTTGAACACAAAGGTGTAACCCGCTTGCCTCAGACACAAAACAAGTGAACACTTGATCAAGATGGAACAAAAAAGGAAACAGTTGTATCTCTTTTATCATACAAGTCATGATCTCAATTTTAATTCTCACATGAACAAGCTCTTCAGGTAGCATGACATGTTGTAGTATCATGATGGTTAAAATTATTCATTCCCAATTTACATGTAATCACCTCAGCAACATCTGGGGTAAAGTTAAAATCTTATCCAAGCTCCTCGTCAAACTTGTTTTGCTTTACCAAATAAACCGGAAAGAATTCCCTCTTGTCTTTAACAGGTCCCATAACCCAAAACAACACTGTAATCAACACTGTATAGCACCATGATAAAAAT